AACTAACTACAAAACAACCATTCTAACCAAAACAAATCATACAACAAACACGAATAGGAGAAAGGCTTAGATGATCAATCATTTAAAAAGCTAAATCATTCAACAATGAACTGTTTTGTCGAAATATTGTAATTGTAAAAACAAATGATATCGGTTAAGCAAACAGGTGAATCGTGATCTCGGTCTTTCATCATATACGTTTTTCAATATCACTGACATTTCATTTGGCCTTGATATGTAACCAAACTTGAATGTATCTCTTTGTACTTCACATGAACGTGAGCTCTCCACGCTTATCATCTGTATAATCATTTATATTTCCGTTGGTCCGTCAACTCTCTTAATTGTCGACACCAGTCGGGTAATTGAACTTTGAATAACAGGTCTATTTCTGTGCCCTTTTGAACGCAGTTGGTCCTTGAAGAATACAACTTTCAAGCAAGGTTCATTTAGTTGTTTTTTAAACAACACAAAACAAAACAAAATGAAGGAAATCAAGACAAACAGGAATAAAAAGACCGACTAAAAAAGAAGACAGCCAGGATTTGGGGGTAGCTACTCAGATGTCATTTTTGATGATCAGGGCCGTCGCTACACCATTTAGAAAATGGGTAACTAAAAAACTTTTTTTTGTTAAAGTATAAAAAAAAAGATTTTACTAAATAAATAAGTGAAAACGAGGGGGCTCTAGATTTTCAAAAGTTTCGACAGGGAAAAAAGTTCAAACGGAATACAGTTTTGCCGACAAAACGATCTCCGACATGAGTTTATGATAGGAGTACGGGATCAAACCCCACATCTCCAACTGGCAACGCCCCCCCCCCCCCCACACCTTTGCATGTCCGGTTAGCAACAGTTGTGTTAACTATTTATAAACGTCTCTTAGATAACCGACTACCGTGCACCACGAAAAAATAGTTCATAAATGTAATTTCACATTTAAAGCGATCGCTTAGATACGTTTTATTTTTACTGTAAAAAAATCACACAGAACAGTTTGAAGGAATGAAAATCTGATTCCGTAAATGTGAGCTTTTGCGGTTCGTTACGTACAGCTATTTTTATGACTCAGGTCTGGTTTTTAATCATTATTCATCGCTGTGGTATAGAAAAGACACACTCATATACAAGAAAATTAAATTACAAAAATGTAGTATAAAATGGATGACACAGAAAGGTTGAATAGACGTAGAGGCCTCACGTATAATATAAAGAACAACTTAGACTAATTATACATTTAAAATAAATATATACTTATGAGTAAGTAATGTATGGCATCAAGGTTTAACCAAAAAAAAGTATATCAGAAGGGGCCGTTAACGAAATAAAAATCATTGTTATTGTCATTGTCATGCTTATTTTCCCAGATTAGTTTACAGAAAAAAGGAGAAACGGGGGAAGTATGACAACGGGAAAAGGAAAAGGGGGAAAAGCAGACATCTTGGTGACGATGGTGCTGCTGCTGATGAAGATAAGGATGATGATGGTGATGATGATGTTGATGACCTCCACATAGTCAAGAATAACAACAAAGAGAACCCTGTAAATGATGATTTCTTCAAGCTGCTATATACCTACTCGAACAATCTTGAACCTAAAATAATGGAAGTCATTCACAGGTCAAGAATAGCTATGACACCAGACTAGCTTTCTGCTGGTTTCCGACTCGTCATGGTTGTGTCTTGGAGTGGCTTCCTTCCTGCTATCATTAGCTTGTAAACTAAAATCGGCGTCTTTAACTCAATCCTTGTCGAGGAGAGGGTAGTTTGAATGAGGGATGGCATTGAGGGGGTTAACAGTGGAATCATGCCATTGTGACCCAAACCACTGACCCCGTACAGGTGCAGCTGTAATATTCGTTGGGTTCACACGAATTTCCGTTAACTTTAGGTTTAGCTCGTTGCTTTAAACTTGGAGGTCATCTTGTCAATTACTATGTGGACTCACTCGTTGTTTATCGAAGATTGAATTTAAACCAGGAGTGATCTTGGTTGACGAAAAAAAAATCGAGTAACGGGTGGAGGGGGGGGGGGGGTGTGTCCTCACTCAAAGTAATGAGCCATGCGGACCCAACTACCTTCGATACGTTACCATCTTGTAGTTACAACGACTGCTTACCCTGCTGGTGGTTTAAACTTCAAGCAGTCGTTGTTCCGATGCTGCGTGAACCCACATAGCGATGCGGTGTGAAAATAGATATAACAAGTGCGAAGTATATTAAAATAAAAAAAAATGACAACAGACCACTAACTTTCTACTCCTTGTGCTATTGTCTTAGCCAGGTTCCCCACTTGATTTCCGTGGCAATCCTCGTCTACTTATGCATAACTGTATCCCATTGCAAAAACGGATCGAGTTAAGGGCGGAGCAGTTGTGTGCCCCTAATTTAAAGCCCATTCCCCCCAAAAAACAAAATAATAACGAACAAACAAAACAACAGCAATACTACACAACAAAACTGAGTCTCGCACACGGGACCAAATAGCTGATGAACATGACACACTGTCCGTCAATACTATTTAGCACATATAAATGTTCGCATTCTAGTGTAATTTCTTCTATAACTGAATGGCAATCAGATTGTATGCGATGGACTGAAGAATAAGAATAAGAAAAGGTAATTAAACAGTTTAAAGAAGAAAAAAGTTCCGACTTCCATTTAAAAAAACAAAAACGTATATAGTTAAAGGTCCTGTAGACATCATGGAAGGTGATCTTTACCAGTGCAATGCGATAAGTGTAATTCATTAGCAGCCAAATCTTAGTAGAATGAACTCGGCGCTTTAAGACGCATAGCGTCATCGCAAGGCCGGCCGACCGGCCTTCATTGTGTTGCATGCTGCATTATCTTCAAGGCGTCGGAAGTGGCCGGGTGCAAGGATAGACATCTAACCTTAAATCTTTAAAAAGAGCCTGCTCTCTAGACACTTTGATAAAATGAGATCATGCCTGCAAGGATTTATAAATCCATACGATGTTACATATAATCACAATGATTCAAAGATTACGGGAATTCATTGATTATGATTTTTTTTTTTTTTAATTTGATAACTCTATCTCTTATGTCTATTAAGATGGTATAGCACATATTTCTCAAATGTCTCAAAGCCGTACGCTCTTTTAAAAATGTATTTTGAAAGATTAAGTTGATAGAACAAAAAATTATTATTTTTCGACCGGGCACAGGTTCAGGAAAAAAGTATGTACGCGTTACTATTAATAAATCAAGCTAACCTGACACGCCATTACTGTAAGACAGCTTTGTTAAGTCTCCATTTTCTGTAACATATAGGGGCAGTAAGAGACTCGCTTCTCAAATATAAGGTGTAGTTTTCCCCGAATAGTAGGGGGAGGAGTTGCAGCCTCCAGCTCCCCCCTCACCCGTACGCCTATGTTTATATCGCTTTCAAATTTCTCATTGACATTATTGGTGCCCATCTCTGCCTGTTAAATATGTAAGACTTGTTTCAGAATCAAAATGCTTACCAATGAGGATCGCTCACTTGAAAAGATTGTTTTCCTATTCCTGTCATTCAAAGGTCATATTATGTATTTAACCTTTTATGTCTGTATGCCATTATCTGTCGGAATTTCTGCTCTCCGTCTATATCTCTCTCTCTCTCTCTCCCTCTCTCTCTCTCTTTCTCTCCCTCCCTCCCTCTGTCTTCCCCTGCTCCCTCTTTCTCTCTCACAAATCTTTTAGTTACTAAGGCAAACAACACGATTTAGAGAGGTTAGAATATTGGATGCGGCATTGAAATATGCGAGATTTACACTATTTATATTTTGGAAAGTATTCTTATATGTTGACCATTACAACATAAAAATGATTAATACACAAGTGGTGAATTCGTATTCGCATGCTAACATTAAACATTCTGATTATGTTCCTACTACATTTTAAGCAAAGCCTCCTAATGACTAATTTTTACGTGTCATTATTACTAGTAACATTATAACAACAAATGCACACACTAATACACCACAATTACCTTTGGTCTTTAGTGGTAGCACATATCAACGTGAAAGAACTCAGTACTGTACTACTGATATGTGTACATCTTCCGCTTGCTAACATCCGTTGCACAAGGTTATTTCCTTCCGGTGTCATCAGCAGATCCCACGTTATCTCTCTCTCTCTCTCTCTCCCTTTCTCTCCTGTCTCATTCCAAGCGTCTTCACTATCTTTTCACTTATATATACCTTTTCTTTTCTCATACTCTTTCTCTTCATGTTGTATCCCTTCCTCCCCCCTCTCTCTCTCTCTCTCTCTCTCTAATCTTTACATGTCTGCTCCTCCATTTTTGAAACATCTATACTAAGTTGTGTAATACACTCATCTTTCTATTTACAATGTTTTCTTTTGCTCCTGAGTAATTGACTGATTTATGTATGTATGTATGCATACATGTATCTATGTATGTATTTATCTGTCTATTTATTTATTAATTTATTTATTTATATATTTTTTTGATTATTTTCCAAATTCACTAATTTATTCATTTATTCATTTATTCATTTACCTATTCATCTTTGTTTCGTTTTTTCATATCTTATCAATTTATCCATTCATATGTGATCAACTTGGTTGGTCATATAGGTTTATGGAAGAATCAATAAAATAAAATAAATCTTTCTTTGAATTCAAGTGAACTAGCAAATTTTTCCCTAACCATCCCATATAAATGTGTTTTCCATGACGTTATATAGGACGCGTTTTCTGACTCATCATGTGGAAGAACCATAAGTAAAATGATCGGGATGAATCGTCATTTTTCTTTTCTCGTAACCGCTTTCTTTCCTCATCTGCTTATGTGTACACCAGATGACCTAGTAATTATCACTCGGCAGTAATTAAATCTATGCATTTATGAACTCTAAAATAATATTCTATCAAGATAGATTAGGTTAGAATGTCAAGATAATAAGTAAGTCAGTGATAGGCCACACGAAACGGAACACTTCTTTTCACACAAAAATAACTCATAATAGAAAAAGAATAAAATACATCCGTTCTGTACGTTACTTTATTAATCTTTATTTACATCTTTACAAGATCTATACAACTACACTATTGTTTTTACAAACGTAAATATTGCTCATTACATATACAATTTATTTATATCCCCGTATAGTTCTATCATAATATTACATTAATATACAATATAATTCCTTAGGAACAAATATCTTACATACCTTTTCTATACATATTTATGACGATGCCGAGTTCAACATGCCGGCTAAAATGATTTTGTGCTGCAAAAATGTCATCAAAAACGTCGGTTCAAATTTCCTATCAAATATAACTTATAAAACGCATCCGTTTTGCTTCCAGCGTCTTTCTTATCATGCTTATACTATTAGTTATTCAAATTACCAGCATTTTTTTTTTTAAATGAAACATGAAACCTTTCATCCTGCACTACACTGAGAATTATGTCCTGATAATAAATAACGTGATATCACTTATTAAATTATACAAACATGTATTAAAGGCAGCTGTTATCGTAAACATCAAACATTCTGATAAAAGAATCATAGTTTCATTTAAAGATTGCTTTAACTTTTCTTAACTTAAACTTAATTTAATTATCTATGTTTTGTTGCATCCTGGTTGAGTATTATGATTGTTCTAATAATTATTTCCCAATATCAGTATTTAATTCATTGAGAAATAAAAGTAATATAATGTGTGATAGGAGAAGTAGAAATATCGGGAGATGCATCTGATTACGGTAGAAATAATACTAGCGATTACATTTAGTGCAAGCACATTCATACGCATGGATCGAGAACTAAACAAAATACACGAAGATTTTCAACAAAATTAGGAACAAATCAAGAGTGTTAACTAGACGAATGAGGAGGAGTACGAGTGAAAGGGAAAGGGAAAGGGAGGAAGAAATGATAGGAGACAACGTGTATAAAATGTACAACGTGTAGAAGGGAATCCTGAAATGATACTTATACAAAATGGACAGAGGTAAAGCAAGAGAAAGAGTAAAATTAGGAGAAAAAATAGACATATATAGGACGGGAAAGAAACTAACAGAGTTAAATATCGTACAGCTAAAAGGGAAACAAAGCATATTGCATTATGAAGTTGATAAACTCTAGGATATGGAACTTATTCATAATTCATGTAAGTACTTTTTATAAACTCATTATGCGTTATAATGCGGGATATTTCATAATTCGACCAGAAATATTCGTAAGAAAGTTGAATTCATGAATAATGGAACCATTGTTTACTTTTGTATAAGTGAGTGGTTATGATAAGTATGTTAGGAAAGATAAATGGATTCTTAAAACGCTGATGACGTTTATAAACACACACACATAACTATCTTTCAGACGATAGATGGATAGATACAAAATTGCACAAAATACAGAAAGAAAAAGCAATCATAATATTCGATACTGTCACACGTTATAAACTAAACTGACTTTTATTGTACAATAGCAATTTACCTGATCGGTGCTATAGAGACAGAAATTATATTATTCCAGCGAATATGCTGTCATTTATACATGTAGTAGAGAAGAGATTACTGATTACAAAGTTTGCGTCTTACTGTATTTTATTTGTGAAATAATTTGGTGTAGAAATACGTTACGAACTTATCTTTCGGATATCTGGGTAATAACATTAACTTGATGAAACTGTATCTGATTAAATATTGCTTTATATTCTTCTTTTGATATTCCGACTTATAGCTACGTGGTGTTAAACTTCGGTATGTTTAGCAAATCTTATATTACTATTGTTCACACTAAAATTCTGCTTTTTAGGGTTGTAATCGAATTCAGAATCACTATCACTGGTGTCTGATATTTCCTGCCTTTCCTCTTCGATTTTATCATCGGTAAAAGCAAGATCGGTCTGGCTGGCATGGGTCGTGTACTTCTTAAGAGGTGGACATTCCTCGTACTTATGCTCGCTTGGCTGTCGGGTAAGCGTAGATTTCTCGCCTGGCGGTGTCGGACTGCCTCTCTTCGGCGACCCTTCGTACGTGTTGTCCGTGGAATGGAACCGGTGAAATGGAGATCGTTCCATGTCGTCCATTTGGATCTCCTTCCCACACTCCTTCCCGTACTCCTTGCCGCATTTTCCGCCTAGTTTGCGAGTTGGTGAGCCAGTTAGCTTGGGGTTGGTCTTGTACTCTGGCGACTCTAAGGATCTCAGGTGCATAAGAGCAGTAGCGGAATCGATGCTCTGGGTATCGTATGACATGGTGCTGAAGTTGCTCTGCATCCGTCCTAGGGAGTTGCCTCGATGCTCTGGATCAGGGGTGTTGTGCCGGGAATGGAAGATGATGCTTTCGGCGATCGAGCGGGTGTCATCAGGGCCGGACATCATCGTCAGCTGGATTGGTGTTTCCCGACGCCGGCTGAATGCGATGTAACCCAGGATAATGATGACTACCAGGAAAGCGGCTGCGATGATTATGATGATAATATGCATGGTGGTCAACATCATCGGTCCTGTAACTGGCGCTTTCGTAGGCGTGGGTTCGGTTCCTTCGGGTTCGGGTGCGGTTGTTGAATAACACAATGCATTCGGATCATCGTTCATAACATTGATTGTAATAGATGTTGATGCTTTTCCGATGGTATTGTTGGCCGTACATGAGATGACGGCACCGTCGTAAGCCATGTCGACTTTTGTAAGGATCAACTGGTCTTCTAAGGAATAATGGTTCATTCCCTTCGAACATCCCTGCGCCTCTGTCACAGTCCAGGTGTACTGAGCCTCAGGGTTAGCAGAAGTAGCGCAAGTGAAAACAACTTCTTTAGTATTGACTTCGACAACTGCCAACGATGAACCATCATATGGAAGCTCTGCAGAAGTTATCGCAATGTCCATCGGTTTGTATTCAACAACCAGAGGACCCACTTTACAGTATTCTGGCTGATCTAGTAACTCTTGGCTTAATGTGCAGCGGAATACCTTCCCGTTATCTTCCTTCTCAAGCGTCTTTTCGTAATTGAGCCTGATATCGTTGCCCACTTTGTCCGTGGTTTCATTAACAGGTGACAAATCGTAGGTTGCACTGAGAGACGCAGGTGGGTTTCCGAGATCAGCTTGACAAACGAATGTGATTGTGTACCCAATGCGCAAGTCTGAAGATTCGGGTATATAGCACAAGAACGACGAGAGAGAAGGTGAATACTCAATGCTCACTGTCGCTTCTATTGAAGTATCTATGAAATCTCTAGAGATAGCCTCTTGAATGATACACTTATATGCTCCTTTATCTAACGAGATGATGTGTTGGATTTCAAGAGAGTAGTCTCCTTGATCCCAGTTGCCTGTCAAGATGTATCGAGACGTGTCCACATGCCGAGAATCGAAGCTCTCGTTGTTATTGCGGGTAATTCTTGTTCCATCTTTGAACCAAGCGACAAGGTACCCTCCGGATTTGTCACGGACCATGCATGTCAACCGCACGGTCTCCCCGAAATTTGCAGTCTGGTTCTCAGGTCCTCTTGCAATTGTAGGAACTCCTTGGCAGGGTGTTAGTCTGGCAGTATAGATGAGAAGAAGAACCAGGGCACCTGGTATTCCTGTTCCTACCACTTCCATGTCCAACAGAGAGTGTTCTTTAAAACGTATAGAAAGTTCTACCACTTGTATGCTTTCGTTCGTTTAATTATTCACTGGTTGCAGAAGATATGCGTTAGAAGAGGTTTTGTTTTATTACAAAATGTTCGAGTGCGAAATGTCTAGAGTTTATTAATCCAATATGGCTGCCAAATTGACTTGAAAAGACGAATAGGCTACTCTTTGCTTTAGAAAAATGAAACCAACTATACTGGGTGTGACAATACAGCTATTCAAACAATCGATGCTTTTGGATCGGTAGGTATAGACAATAATGGCTTCATGTCAACTGACTCCCAAACAGCTATACAAACCTTAATCGACATAAACCGGTAACACCTTCTTCCTCCCGATATCCGGCGCATGTACAAACTAACGCGGTTGGTTGTACTAGGTGTATCAAAACAAAAAGATAGCACCGCGCACTGGTGGTGGGTTTATGTGTGGTACATTGAGAAAAACATAGTCCAGTATATGAGGGAGTATATTAATCTCGTTAACTTTAACAAAAAGGCAATAGTTACTCTCAATATACACTCAGTAACAGAGCTTAATGACTTGGGTGTAACGGAAATAAGAATGGAACTCAGACTATCTATTCCTTTTTTTCCTCCAAATTTGATACAGAAGGGGGAAACAATTAATACAAAATATCATGATACGCAAACAAGTAAAAACAAAACATTTTTTTTTCTTTTTTTTTAAACAGATGAAATATAGGTATTGAGTGCATGAAAGGGTAGAGAGGTGATGTTGTGACTTTAAAAAAAAATAATTTGTGTTCTGTTGTGATATCTCCAATGTCTTTCAAAGACGTCGATCTAGTGTTTATATCGTTTTAAACGAGGGGGTAACCTACTGTTTAATCCAATTCATGGGGCGGGTGGAAATCATGACAAACCATAGTACATGTACAATTAGGAATTAACACACTGCCGAGGGAATCGAGCAAATGCAGGAGAGTCGATATCGTCAGCATCGACGGATGCATCAGCGGTTTATCGTGAGTACATCCATGGGAGGGGGCACTGGGAAAATTTAAGGGATGGGGCCCCGGTCATACTCAGAATATGAAATGCGAATTTTCAAGGTTTGTTGTGAGATGGTTCATGCGTTTTCATGTTTCACTTTTTTTTCTCTCCTTTCTCTTGCTTTATTTTCTCGCTCTTATTTTCCCATTTATTTTTTCACTTCTAAATTGAGGGGTGGGGGACGTGCCCATGAAACATAGATTCATCACCTTATTATCTAAGAACATTTTTAAAAACTATCCTATTTCTCTTCTACTTCACATCTGGTAGACTAAACAGGCGACAGGATATACTGGCGAATTAAAACAAATACACCGAATGATGAAGGAAAGATAAAACAAGGGGACCACAAAATGTGCGCCTACGTGTATTTCAACACCCGACGACCACATCTTGAAAATGCTGAAGTCGGATTTTCTCCTCCGACTTGTTTTCGACATTGTTAAATGTGGCGAGCAGGCTCTTGGATTTCCTTTTTCCTCCCAATGTTTGTCTTACTCATCCACAGAGAAACATCAATTAATAACCATGTCTGAATGCCCTTTTTTTGGTTTCTCTGTTTCACGTTTAACTGAGCATCCCTGTTGTTTGAGACGTTTATGTGTTATCCATGTTATCAAAACATTTTCATGTCACGTGAACGGGTGCATGTTTCTTTTTCTTCCAACATCCAGGTCAAGTGGAACTGTTCTATTTCATTCCCTCTACCTTTAAATCGTTTGTTTTTCAGGAAGATGGGAAAAGATGACAATATAAGAAGATAGGATTTCTTGATCCTTCGGCACATTCATTGCATTCAAGGAAGCCGGACTATGTATGCTGTGGTCACAACCCGGAGATGCGGTCGGGTCGCAGGCCAACTTTAGCGATCAGCACGTCCTTCTTACGATCATTCGTGGGCGCCTTGCACCCTCTGCAAAAACATACTCCCCCACCCCCTTACTTGCAAAAAATCCTTGAGGTGAACTCACAACCCCCGTACAGATGCCTTTCAACTGCAGAGCAATGTCTTACGGCTCCGTTTGGCTATGTACTGCGCCGTGCGGCGCCGTAGTCCAACTCAAGTAGCCCATGCACGGTTTGGGAAGTAGTAAAACGGCTACCAGTATCACCTGCCTTCATCAAAAAAGTAGCCACACATACAAATTATAAGACATGTCGAAAAAAATGGCCTGCAGGCGATAGCGTACTCTGCGTGCAGACCCGTGCGTCCGGCGCAAGGTTGTTCTACGAAATCTGTCGTAGAGCAGTCGCAGAGAGGTGCGTTGCATGTTGTGACCATGGCTAGTGCGCATGCATGTTATACTACTACTAATAATAATTAAACGAGTTTGTATAGCGCATAACACATTGGCATAATTGCATGTCACTATGCTGTTGTATTCATTGGAATTTATTTGTGATCATAATTATAACCACGTGCTATATATCCATAACAACTCTAGGACAACTATGATCTCCTGGACTATCACATATAGTACCTCTGGGACAAATACACGCTCATTTAACTACTCAGAGAGCTACATTTACTTTGCAATTTAGAAAAAAGTGAGTCAATCAGCCAATAACTCATACAAGACAGAAATCTTTCACCTCGAATCACCTCGAATGGCCAAGACTGTTTCAGTTTTGGAGTAGGTTTCGCAACGTGACAGTGGGTATTATGGTAGGTATTTGACTTACGTGGGCCTACATTTATTGTTAATCTAGGTATATACTAAATTTACATGTAATCCAGAACATTCACCCCCATATTAATGAGTTTTCCACTATCCTATTAACATGCATGTCATATCGTACATTGCAGCTCGTGAGAAAGTCTGGACTTGTGGTTTCATGTAGCCTGTTATTGTGGTTTCATGTAGCCTGTCATTGTGGTAAAACCTATTTTCAGAACCTTTTAGGTGTCATGCTTTTTGTCGATTTTTTTTTAAATTCCTTTTTGTTTCATCAAGACATTGAGGCATTTTGATTTTTTCATGTGGTCAAAATTCTTTGTAAAAGACACACTATGGTAAAATGTGTGGAAATGTATAGTATCCACCGTATAGGTTATTTTTGAGGTTGATTCGAGGGAAGAAATTCTGAAAACATTTGAATTGTTTTTGTTTATGACATCGTTGTTCCTCTTGACATCCATGAACGGTTCAAATTCCATTCAAACACTTTCGACGCTGACCTCCTTCTGCAAGATTTGATTCACAAAGTCACAGATGAGCAGGGGCGTCGTTGTTTTTGAGGAGGCCCATTAGGTTCAGAACCCAATCCAAAAAAAGAGAAGTGGTTATTGTTGCCGACAAATGTTTTTGAAAAGTCGTATCCCCGGCCCCCCCACTCAGAGGTCGGAATGACCGCATGCGTGTTGCCAAAATGTCCGGTAAAGGGGTACTTTTCGTGCGACAAAGTCCGGCCCGAGAATTGTAAAAAAAGGGTGTATTTGACTTTTCACCCGGAGATTTCTTTAAAAAGGGGGTGTTTTTCTTTTTTTCTCTCATCTCTTTGGACTCCTGAGAAATTATTCCGAATTTAGGGGGGTACATTGAGCATTTTTCCTGATTTAGGGGGGTCTCCAAGGCAGGAAAAGCCCGCGAAAAGCCCGCGAAAGGGGGGTTCGGAAATGTTGGCAGTCCTCAGATAGGGGGTGCTTTCAAAAAGAGGGTACGAGCATATGCGTACCCTAAATAACACTGAGTGGGGGGGCCGGGGTCGTATCTTTACATTTTGCCTGGCGTGTTTTCTGTAACATTAATAACAAAAGGTGAAATATATTTCAATATCGAGAAAAATGTAACCTTAGGAGACTTCGTCGTTATTTTCGGCCATGTGACATGCCATATAAAACGGATTAGTCTCAGGTAAACCAATATCTACCAACAGATGGCGTAACATTAAAAAGACAAAAAAATTTAGTTTTAATGACAATCTTCGGGTAATTTTCCACTATTTATTTGTTCACTCACTCACGGAGGAGAAACTGTCAGAGGAGCAGTGTCGTGCGGAAAGTATTTGTCACCGGTACATTTATCGATTCATGGGGAGTAATTGTCGGCGGAGAAATTGTCGTAAGAGCAAATATCGGCGTAGCAAAAACTTGTCGGCGGAGTAACTATCGGAGGAGCATTTGACGTCGGAGCAAATGTCCCGGAGCAATTGTCGCATTTTGCGGAGTAAACGTCGGCGGAGCAATCGTCGGCGGAGCATGTGTCATGGATTCTTCCACAAATATCGCCATTATGTAAAAGCGAAAAGCACAACGTCACAAACATAAAATGAAACGATACAAAGAATGATATAATTTCATGGAAAAGATGGGATTTAATGTAGGCTTTGTCAGAACGGAACATGAACCAGTGACGCATGCAGACCTTGGCCTGGGGAGGGGCTAAACATGTTTTGAGGGTCTTTGTTTGCGTTATGGGGGGGGGGGGGTAGCGTCCATATATATAATATGGCTTATTTTTAAAATTATGTTTTTTTTTCTTCTCCCCCCCCCATATAATTCCCACAATGGGTATTTTTTAACCTTTATAACAAAAACATTTGTTGGGAGGTACTTAATTACTGTACAATGATTCCCTAACCTATTATTAGGTTATACAACATTAAAACCTGTCATGTTTCTCCCGAAAAGCTGTTAGGAGAGTGTACTGCCCTTTGCCCCTCCTTCGAACAACTAGTAGACTTGACGATATGAACTGATAGTCTAATTAGTAATTCCATAGTGTATTTATATAGTAGATATATGGCACAATTAGTCATCAAAACCATAACCATGATAATGTGTATTTAAATCCGACATTAACCGACCAATTCTAAGATCTTTGTTGATACATGTTACCGGGCACCAAATCAAAAGTGTTTATGCAAATGTGATATTTGTCTATACTTAATCATGATGATACATTTCGTCTTATGGAAAATATATCTTACAGTACTAGCATGGTCTTTTGTTCCTGACCCTTCCAATGCTGAAGGCGTTTTTAATCGCCTACATTCTCACATTTCATCTGAAATTTCATTTTCGAAATCAAGACGAATTCATGCATTGTGAACATGGTGAAGATAACAAATTTTGAGTATTGTCATGATTACGTACATCGGAATGGACAGGTTCAATGCATCAAAACGTGAACATTGACCCTCAACATTTAGAAGCAGCTTAAGAAAATTTGATGCCACTGTATCTGTTAATCCAATTTTCATGACTATTTGTATTAGAAATTATTTTGAAATGACTTGATTGTCACAGAATAATGCTCATCGACGACGTCTTTCTTCGTTCCTAACCAGCCATGCATCGCCATATCGGGCGAGTACTTCGAGGCCTCGGGGCGGCGGCCGTATGATTCGGCGAGAGCTCGGGTGTAGTGAGGGGCGTTGCCGCAGCACAGTCCCACGTATGGGATTTTGAGCTGAGCACAGCGTTGCCCGAATTCGATGACGTCTCGTCGCGAGCAGAGCAGGCAGTCCATATCGGGGAACGCTCGTTCACCTGCAGGTATCATGATAAACATGGTATAAAATTATACGAAGGATGAGAGGAAAAAAACACAAAAACATCGGTCACTTATTTAACAAAAATCTAGTAAGTCCATAATTGAATGATGGGACGCACCCAAAAACGGGCGATTTAAATATAGTCCCTCTATGTAATTGTTAAGTTATGGGACTCAATTCGAAACTGTACCTTACACAATCTGTCTGTAACGCTAACGATATTACTGGTCAACACTATCCCACTTCAAGGATCAGGACCAGAACAAATTCAGATGCAGAAGACAGATGAAGAGAAATCAAAAGTTTTCGCAATTATGACTTCAGCAACTAATGGCTTAAGCTACGGGGTACATCAAAGCGAAGAACGCGGAAAAGAGAAATTTAGCAAATGAAGAAGAAAAGAGGGGGCATGAAAAGGAGACGACACGGCCCCCACCAAACACCCACCCCTTTTATTTTTTAATGGCCTTGTTAAGTTGCATTACATCCATCGAGCAATTGTGTACGTGCCCAGCCCCTCATCTACGCCACGCCCCTACCGTACACTGATGTAAAACCGAGTGATAACTGCCACAAATAACCGTTTATTTGCCTTTTTCTTTCTTTTAGTTTATTTTCCATCATCCCATGTGGACCCCCCTTGATAGGGTTTGTGTCTGTACACTACTACTGACCTGTCTTTGGGTCCGGCAATGAATGGAACGAAGGATACTCGTCCGTAGTTCTGTAGAGTACTGGCAGGACGGCTAATGGCACCTGATGATTAAGACATAAACAGAGACGGATATTTTTACCATGGACCCTAACACGCGACAATCTGATGACCGACCAGCAAAGTCAAAATCTGAGGACTACTTTCTTATAACTTTGCTTGTTTAATTTTCATCGACCCTGTACGCAAATTTGGTCCAACAACCCATTCAATATAGTCACCTATACACCCCCACCCCCTGTGAATACACAGTAGTATTAACTCTTCTTTGTGTTGCCGCTCACATTTCAATTGTCAAGATATTAAAACAACCGGTAAAGACTTTCATAGAATGTATTTCAAGCACTTGGATGGATTGTCTATCATAGTTGATTTACTGTAATTTATCTACGAGACAAGACGGGAAGTGTATCATTGATCGACAATTGAAACCCTTGTTGACCTTTATCCCTGCATTGGTAGCACTCTCAACCAATTTCATGATGGTTTCTGGTCCTCGTGTGCAGTTGAACCCAACCACATCAGCTCCTGCCTCGACCAGTCGCCGAAGCGCCTCATTCATTTCGACCCCATCTATCGTGCAAGGTCGGCCCTCATCGTCGTACTTCACGTGTGACGACAGCGTGACAACTGCTGGAACGCCTTTTTATTGCAAAGGGAGAGAGAGTTAAAATAAAAGGATGTGAAGCGTCATCATATTATCATTATTATGTAATTATGCAATTCTAACTTTATCCGATCTGATTTGACTTTTTTTTAAAGCAAATGCAGCTGTGAACACTTTTAGGCTCTTCATCATCTGCCTTGCAAAAATCCGGGTGATTGATTTTAAAAACATGCACTTTTCGTTTAGATATAAACCACTTATCCTAATAAGGCTATCATTAAAAAATCACTCAAAAAATTAATGCATGCGCTGTGTTTCTTGGTTTTTTCAGACGTGTTTCGATCAGATATGATTATTTACGTCTGGGGACCGACCTTTAACATCACCATCCAAATTCGTGACTCAGTTTCGAACCGGGGTCCATCTGAGCCAGTTTGTAGGCGAAGATAGAGAGCTGACCAAGTGAACGTGCCGCTAGACCAACTCTCATATCCATAATTATGCTGTACACTTTTACTGTGTTATTACCTACGCTACTAAAACCTTTGTAGTCAATACATTAGCAAGGAATTCAACACAGCTTTTTTCACTGTTAAGTTTGTCTACAATTTCGGTCCAATCCTTTTCTAACATGGCGCGTAAAAAAAAAAACACGCCAATCGCTGACGCAGTCGTACGTCAGAAAATGACCCTCGTGCGCAACGAGCATGTATCTTTAAGTTGCAATGATACCCATTTCATAACACTGAGAGGCGTGATATGCCTGACGCAGTACTGCGCAGGCGCGGATCCAGGATTTCTTAGGGGGGGGTGGCAAATTTGAAATCAATTTGGAATTGAGTGTGCTGAAATTTGAAAATCATGCCTGCCGATTTTCCCCGGTTTGGAGGGGAAGGAGGGGGGGGGGGAGTGAGCACTAATTTCTTTTTCTTTATTTTTTGCCCCTGGAAATTTGAAAATCGTGCCGGCCGAGATTTCGCTCAGTGGGTGGGGGGGGGGAGGGGTGGCATAGTGCCTTGGGGCAACAGAGAAAAGGTTCATTTCTGGTCACAATTTGTTCGGGGCCTGCATAATGTACAGTGCACACATTTGCATTATGAGCTGAAGGCCTTCATAGACCTGATAGGTGCGGGTAATGACGCATTAATGACCCCCTACCTCGACCCCGGGTGCAAAAGACATTGAACTTAGGCTGTATAAACGTCATCGTCTTGATTTGCCCCAGGTGCCGTTTCTAGCGCCTACCTTTGCCATATTCCTTGATGGCCTGTGCTGCAAGAATGGCCTCTCCGACGTACCCAAAGGTCTCACCCACAATGTAATCGGCTCCTTCGTCAACAGCCCACTCAACTTGTTCCTAATTAAAATCCAAAAATTTAGGCAATCAGGTAATACCAATGAGATTAATAACTCACTTTTTTTCTGACCTATGACTTAGAAAAATGATACGAAGCATTACCTTTTCTTCTCATATCCCAATTTTTCTTGCAAGATACGATTGCCAACCGCATTTGCATTGATGGAGTTATTCAAGGATATTCATTTCAAGATTACAATTTGCATTATTTGTCACTTTTATTTTTTTTGCAACGACGTATCTTAATTCGTTTTACTTTACATCCCCCCTCCCCCTCCTCCACCTCCCTCCGCTTACGAAATTTATGAGCAGTTATCCAGTTCTAGTGAGAAATGCGTTCGTCAAGCATTTCCATGTGATAGAGGAATCAACAGATTTTTGGAACAACCTGGTGGCTAAGTCAATTTGATCTATTGGCTTCTCTGCCATTGGAAGGTTTTCACGAGCACTGTGTACATACTATATAAACCACCATAAATAATGAATCAGAAAGGATTAATAAATGTATAAAACTATAAATGAGTGTGCAAATATCACTGTGCAAATCAATTTACAAGCCTCGAAATGTCCATTACAAAAGCACGAACTGCGTGACTGTACATGAATGAGTGCGCAGATAATTTTTTCAGGGATCTAGGGACCTTTTTTTTTTTTAAACGTCGTAACGACAACGCTGCCTTTCCTTTCGAAAATGACATTGAGCTCGTGCAAATTTCGATGACATGTTAAGCATATATTATCTCTAGAATTTTAGAAATATTCTAAAGTCAATATTACACGAATATTTAAGGGAAAATTCTTGGCTGATTTCATATCGAATCCTAAGTCCGGCGACGTAGGACTCCCTTATGATACAGACACCCGATATTCTATTCCTCCTGTTTTACCTTGAACATCTCCTTCGTTTTCTCGATCGCCTCGTCATTGTCGGGTTGGTAAACGAACGTGTTACTGAGATCACCACACATCAGGGTCCCAGTGCTGTCGGCGATCTCCCGTGCCATCTTGAGGGCGAGACGGTTTTGTTTCTCGAGCTCGTCGCCGCGACCGACGATGCCCATCTTATATCTGTTTCCATAGTACTGACACAATAACACATCGATTTTCATGTGAGTGTCAATATGTCAAATAGTATTCATCTCAATCGCTTTGACCTACAGCAGTTCAATGCCTCCTTTTATGTTACATTTAAATGATATATGTTGATCTAGAATGCTAGCGCTTAGAGACTTCGGTGGTAAGCGCTTTATAAGTAACGTTTTTATTATTATTATTATTATTATTATTATTATTATTATTATTATTATTATTATTAGGACTCACAAGTAGGCGTTGTGGTGTGCGCCTGTAATCTAGCTAACAATGGAAGTTACAAACTGGTTCAGCCGAGGACGCAGGTTCGAAACTGAGTCACGCCTTTCGGATGGTGACGTTTAAAGGTGGGTCCCCAGACGTAAATAATCATATCTGGTTGATACACGTCTGTAAAAACCCAATACGCTCACACAAGCTAGGAATCACACATTATGCATGAACAGTGAGAGAGAGCTGATATCACAGAAATAGTTGAGTCAATAAATCACGCAGGAGCGGCTGGACATTGGGCCGTTCGTGAATAAGGGAGATATAATTGTACATAATTTGGAATCGAGGTGCCAACATTTTGGGTGTACACAATTGGAATTGTTAGTTTTCATCTCTGGACAAGAGTAAGGGAAATACATGCATACACGGGGAGTAAAAATCATGCTTGATACCAATTAAGTTGTCTATCATTTTGTTAAAAAATGCCTTTTATAGGTAACAATAATTATATTGACAGGGCTTTTTTCGGGGAACGTCATATATACATATTGACCGCGCTAAGACCACATTGCCTTCGTCTTCAACTCGGGGCAATATGGTCTTAGCTTGGTCAATATGTCTGATGTACCCCTCAAGCCCAGTCAATATAATATAGATATTTACCGTGAAAGCTTGGACTACGTCACTTCCTGCGCGCACGAAATCTTTGTACATCTGACGTACCAGCTCGGGATGATCCATTACAACTTCAGGGGTGTACGGCCCTGCTTTCAGGTATCCCAGACGCTCAAATGCAAATATATACCCCTCAGCAACAATGACAGTTTCCCCATCTTGAATGCGTTGTAGTAGACCTGTTGGTCGAAAAGGAACCTGAATGACACACGAGAAGACTTCCAAATAACAAGAAGATTCATGTTCGAATTACGAAGTATGTCAACTTAAACATAAACTTTAGTACTAGTAATGCGATTGCATTGTGAAAGGAAAGGTGTGGAAAGGATCAGAAACAGTTGATCATGTAGCATGTAAGTATTGGTGTGCACTGCAAGGCTCTGGAGTCATCAAAATCATAATAAATTTGACCGAGTCTTGGTAAAGTAACAACCACAAAACACAGAAAGCTATATATGGGACAACACACATGGTGTCGGGGCTAGTACTACCTTGATTTCCTTGTCTTTCTATGCTCATTACTCAGCCAGTATACATTTTCTTCCAAAATTGTTTGGCACATGTCATTTATTTGTAATCTTGAACATTCAGTGTAAGTTTTGTTTGATTCTGTGAGAATTAATTTTCTTTTTTTACCAGAACTGGAGTTTATCTTTAATGTTCGCAGATTTGAAAAGGTGACGTGCATTGCCATTGAAATTTCGATTGAATAATAATATTTTCTTACGAATTGCCCCCCCCCCCCCCCCCTCGCCGCCGACTGGATCCGCCCCCGGGTCCACAATTTACAAGCTCTGCTTTTCAGTGGACCACGATCTCCATTTCCACAAGTGTATTAATTTGTTGTATTACTTCTTCCTCTGTCAATTGTTATAATAAGTTTACATACAATTTGCATGATATTATTTTATCTTTTGTGGGAATGAAATAAATGAATGAAACCCATACAGGCATGGCCCGCAGAAAAACAGCCTATAGCTCTGACACCTATCTAGGGCTATCGGGAAAATACATTTATAGTCAATATTATAATCGAGTCATTTTGCGGTGCAACTCAGGTATTAGAAATGAAAATAACAGATTGTGAGTACATGAAACAAAGACAGATACACCCAACAAGACTCTCATAACTTAGTAGGTACATACCTTTAGCCTTAGACATCCTCAACGACTTCCGTTTCCAGCACGTTTACAAGTCGGGTACAGGTTCAATGATAGCGACGTCTATATTTACTGCCTCTATTTTCAATGATTTCATGCACGCAGCAATATCAAATCATAACGGAGGCTCAGTTTTTATAATTCAATATCCATTGAAAGGTTACATTTGATTATTCGAGCGTTGCGGGCAATATGCATGTATTGTAATATTCAACAATATATATTGAAGTTTGATCTAATTGTGTTTTTTGCAATGCAGTTTCATGGATAAGAATAACAAGATTGCCTTTGTACATGAATCGAATATGGTTGCTAAAATGTTGGTTAACCCATTACAAAGCAGTACAAAGTTCACCTCAGACTTGTCGAAGTTCAGGTTTAGTAGCTTGTTGTCACGGCTGGCAGAGTTTGATTAAAATAGTTTAGTTTTGTTTCTCTTATATCTGTATGTGTTCCCCTCTTATTTTTGTTCATATCTACATGTAAATATGTCGGTTTTAATAATATGTTCCCATCTTATTCTTGTTCATTGTTTAAATATACATGTAAATATTTTATATGGACCTCTGCTCTTGCAGCTGAGTTTGGAATAAAGTCTTAAAATGAATTGAATAGAGTACATACACAACGTACATCCATCTTCTCCATTTTCTTATAGCAACGACTAGTCTGCCGGTACAGTCGCTTATTTGACACTAGACCACAATTCCTAAAGCCTTGAGCAGAGCCTTGCTCTGTCAGTCTCTGGCTTGGGGAGTTTTGAGTTGGTCTAGTGGTACGTTCACTTGGTCAGCTCTCTGTCTGAAGGCTGGCTCAGGCGGACCCTGGTTCGAAACTGAGTCACGTCTTTCAGACGGTGGCGTTAAAGGTCAGTCCCCAGATGTAAATAATCGTTTGTAATTGATACACATCTGTTATTACCCCATTACACGCACACACACACACACAAAAAAACACGCACACAAATACACTACAAAGGACAAGGATTTGAGCCTGCAAACTCACAATAGTCAATAAAACCATGATTTTTTTTTTTTTTTTTAATTTCTTCATGCGAATATATGGTTACTCGTTTATGTGAAATGTGTAAAGTGACAAGAAAAAAATATTCATCGAGTTGCATTTTTATCAAAAAAGTGTCAGAGAGAATTTCTTTTAACGGGGGAATGATTATTGGTTGGTGTTCTAGAATTTACATGTCTTGAAATGATATAGTAATGGTGCCTGGGCCCTTTTCTGATAGAGGTCATGAATCAGAACCCATCATAATTATTGCTTAAGTTGTTTGAATAACGCTGGTGTTATGAGTGTTATATTTGACTATGGACAAAGTAGGTTATATATTCTAGTTTGTGTAGATTACAGGGTTTTATTATTATGGTTATTCAATATGGACCTGTTTTGACATTGGTTGTAAATTTTAAAAAAAGACTTTATCCTTATTAAAATACACTGAGGTTAAGAGCGCTATATTGGACTCTTTTTAGTTTGCTTAACAGTGTACTGACATTTTATGACATCCGATTTCTCCTGAGGTAGATTTAAAAAAAGGAAGAAAATAGCGCTGATCCAACACAACCTTTACATATAGTCACATATGAGGTAGAGAACAACAATAAAATATAATTTCGAGATCAGTTTACTTTAACTTGTGTCCCTTCACTAACAATACAACGGCGTCTCACATCCATGACATCGGGGTGAATTAGGCAGTGTAGCTTTATTCTAAATTATGGACACGCTCTACGGTTCGGTTCATGTATAACGAGTGCTCAAATAGTTTAATTGATGATTTGTATTCGCCAAGCTTCCAATATACAACAATATACAAGAATAACAGGTCAAAATTAAGTCAGCTTGAACAGGATAACCCATGAAAGCTCGAGAGCTTATTTTCAGTAGCAACTACATTGTTCAATTGATGGATAATATCGCAATATTATTGAGCCAAACTGGAAATACATGTACATTATTATGTCAGATTGGAGGAAAGTGATTTTGTCACCATAATGGCAGTAATTGTGTTCCACAAGTTCAGAATTCCTTATTTTGTATCCATATTCTCTCGTCTCATTCATATTTCGATGCCGATTTTGTCGCTTTGGCATGTTGATGATGTATTTAAAGACACCTCTAGCGTCATCTGGTCAGCTGTATGGTTCCAGAACTCGCTGCGCTGAAAAGTGGTTTATCACATAATTTGAGCAGTGTAAATTTTGAAATATGGGCACATTTTTCTTTCGTAACTTAGTGCACGTAAAATACACCACATTGTATTTTTCTAAGCGGCAACAACCACCCCTATATCTAGCTAACCAGTGATTTCATCTATTCCTACTTCTTTACGTAGCTTGAGGAAGTTTTGTGTAGGTCTGTGTAATATGTATTGATCTTGGTGTCATCCGTGCCATACATCCCATGGACCGACATGTCCGGTGAGAACTTGGACGCCTCAGTGACCCTCCCCAGAGTTTCGGCCATGGCTCGGGTGTAGTGAGGGGCGTTTCCGCAGCACAGTCCCACGTATGGTATCTTGAGTTGGGCACAGCGCTGAGTGAACTTGACAACGTCTCCACGTGAGCAGAGGAGACAGTCCAGATCCAAGGGGAACGCCCTTTCACCTTGGAAAATTTAGACAATACACAAAGTATTAGGCTGTAAGGCGTATACGTCCCGGCGATAATTGATTCGCCTTTAAAGCCCACACCAATTGAATTCTTCTTATTAACCCTACATCAAGCAATATAAACCTTAACCCAGTCATGCTGACCATAACCATAAACATACCTAAAGCCCTCTTGCCAGCCACACCCTCAACCCTGTAAATCTTTCATAAATTTGGAGCAATTGTCACTGTATGTCGACGCGCTACACAATAAATAGAGACTTTTGTATAATAAATAACTCTGCTAATGTTTCAACGACTTGCATTAACCCCATTGTCCACCATATATGAAAAGGACCCATAGGGCAACACAAGCTACCTACATTAGTCTCTTAAAATACAGTATGTGTGTAAAAAAAATGGCTAAGTGATTAGGTTTCAAAAGTTTAAATGGCTATGCATGCCTACACATCCGGTTAGTCCGAGGTGTCCCTCTAGCCGAGTTGGCCCTGGGTTCCGTTGCACAAAACGTACCATTGGTGATAACTTTGCCATTAATGGCAGCTACCATGGTAACAGGGGCCAACAGCCAATCAAAGTCAATGTTTCCATGGTAGTTACCATTGATAGCAAAATTACCCTAAATGTTAAGTTGTGTGCAACAGGGCCCTGATCCGTTGAAACATCCCGTACATTTAGGAGATGTATAGGGTGTTTCCGGATCCAGTCCAGACCAGTTACCTCCTCGTATCATGATTATAGGCTTAGATTGTAAAGGAAAAGAAACGTCCACACGATGCCATACCTGTCCAAGGATCTGGTAAAGTAAAGAAACTCGGTTCTTTGATGGTTGTCCTGTATAACACGGGAAGCGCCGCCAAAGGAGCCTATAAGAGGATACACAAAATATTATTTCAGGTGACAGATCATAATTGAAAATCTACAAGTAATTGTATATTTACATGCTTCTCGTCTTCTCTTAAAGCCCCACTGCACTAATTATAGCTGCTTGCGCCCTCTATATAACAAACCATGCCTAATCGGTTACTGTTGGTTCTCCATGGTCCCCTTTATCTTATGTTTATTGAGAGCAGGGAGGTCTAATCCCTCCTGGCCAAACTAGTGCAGATGGACTTTAATCATCACAAGTCATGTTGTACGTAAACGCATCTTAAAGTCCTTTAATGACATTCTATTTCGAGAGAAAATGTCTACACTAAAGGCCATTAATACCTCAGTCACACCAACGAAACTGACATCTGGGGGGCGTTTCACAAAGCCTTTATTCAATGACAAATGACAAAAAGTAGTGACAAATCTGCTGATAACCAATCAGAAGCAAGGATTTCAGTAGCTTATAACGAAAACTGTCATTTGTCACTGATGACAAGTTTTGTGAAACGCCCCCAGACCGACAGCAGACCAAACAAAGAATTTTACTACCCCAAATGGCGAAGTAACTATGGTTATTTTGTTCGAATGTATTCCATCATTACCCCAATGTTGGCCTCCACGGCGCTCTCAAGGATGGGTATCATTGACCGAGGTCCTCGGGTACAGTTGAAGCCGACGACATCGGCACCTTCGGCCACAAGACGTCGAAGGGCTTCGTTGAACTCGATGCCGTCCGCCGTGGTAGGCTTCCCCTCCGTCGTCGTCTTAGTAAAGTGCGTTGCTATGGTGATGACGGCAGGTACACCTAGATACAAAAATGGAATGGGTTTGGTATCTAATTTTATTGAACAATGTATGTAAGATGATGTCAACATTGTCGGTATTGTCATCATTTCAGGTAAGAGTTGTAACCATTTGCTCATCATAAGTCCTTTAAAGCGGGGGTTTCCTAAGTATGAAATGTATTGTGTCATGAATGTACCTTTTCCGTATTCTTTGATTGCCTTGGTTGCAAGCACAGCCTCTTCAAGGTGACCAAACGTCTCGCCCACGATGAAATCGGCTCCCTCGTCCACGGCCCACTCGACCTGCTCCTAAAATAGTCGGTAACAAACAAAATAAGCTCCTACACATTATAAATGTTCTTATGAATTAATAGAATGTCAGAACTACGGAAGCTTAATGTGCAGCGAGAAGGCGACATGTTTAACTCGCCAAGGCACCTTGTTAAGACCAAGAAAGCGTAAAGGAGAATAGTTAAAACTCGCCAAAGCATATTGTTAAGACGAGAAAGCGAGAAGGCGAGTTGTAAAGTCATTGATTTTCCCGCCTTCGCGTCATAAATAAGGCGCTTTAATTGGTGAGTTTTTATAATTCGACTTCGCGCTGCCCGTTTGAGCGTCCGTACAAAACTAATTAAAGAAAGTAATCAAAAATAGAACGTATAATGCAATTTCTGGTAGAATATAGAAAATTCTACGTAATTGACAAAATTGTTTGTTCTTTATGATCTAAGTCATGTTATACATTTATTTATTGTAAGTTTGTTTAAACCAATTAGCAACGATGCCTTGCATATGACAACTTGTTACATTGTTTTATTTTAACTCTGTAAATGAAAATAAAAGGAATGAAATGAAATTGTGAATTGAATCGGGGCCCAAACTCACCTTGAACATAATTTTCGTCTTAGCAATTGCCTCGTCATTCCCCGGTTCGTACACCCAAGTGTTGCTGAGGTCACCGCACATCAGGGTGCCCGTTTCATCGGCCACTTCTCTCGCCATCTTGAGTGCGAGACGATTCTGCTTCTCGAGCACATCCTCCCGCCCGACGAGCTTGAACTTGCTACGGTTACCATAATACTATCGGCAAATTGGGAAGAAATGTAGGCGATTTTGAGCAAAATTTTCCGAATAAACAAACGGAGCAGGAGGTGAAACATTTGCTGTGCGGTTTTCAACGACTCAAAAATCATGCAAAGTGGTCAACCTATAGCTAGTAAATCAACAGGTAACGCCACCAATTGCCAACGAGACCGACATCCCGCGGACCGTCATCTCAAAGGACCGATAAAACAAAGAAAAGTATCAGGGAAGATAGGGGAAAATATAGGCCTCCTGGGCTGTGGGTCTGTGAAACCTCTGAATAGTTGCCACGATGCCCGTGATAGGGAGACTGTTGGTCTCATGGACTATCGACCCTAATGGGCGTTATCGAAAATGTCATTTTTCCTCAAACACCACTCACCGTAAAAGCTTGGACTACGTCGCTTCCAGCACGCACGAAATCTTTGTACATTTGCCGTACCAGCTCGGGATGATCCACTACAACTTCAGGGGTGAACGGCCCTGCTTTCAGGTATCCCAGACGCTCAAAAGCAAAGATATACCCCTCCGCAACAATGACGGTCTTTCCATCTTGAATGCGCTGTAACAGTCCTGTTGGCTCAGAATGTGAGAAAAAATAAATTTATGTTAAGAGAATATTTTATTACTAAATCATTTCATAGACGGGAACAGGCTTGGGGGTAGGGGCAGGCTGGGACACAATGTCTATAACTTTCCCGACGTAAATGGGGGGGGGGGGGGGGGCACAAGGTGTGCAGTATTCTGACAAGCAAAACAATGAAGAAGAAAAGGTTATCAAATTTGTCAGATGCATGATCTAAAAAACAGGTACAACAATAATGAGTACCGGAAGATATGAAGAAGGAGAAGAAGAAGGAGAAGAATATACATAAGAGGCGGTTATGTAGAAATGAATAAAAGAAGAAACATTGCAAAATCATGTTTAAGAAAAAAAGCGAAGAAATGTCAGCCAATTTTACTTGCACACTCTCACAGACTATTAAATTCTTTCCACCCTGCACAGCTATCAACGGAGATTTTTTTTCTCAATGCAACAAATTCAAGATCCTAATTACAAATTAAAATTCATCTTTAATTGTATGTAACATTTACATACCTGTAGTCTTAGACATCCTTCGGGGTCCAGATACAAATGTTTCCAATCGAAAAGGGGAAGAGAAATATGGAATAAAACCGATCTTTTCGCAGCTATGGCACACAACGTCGTCTAGTCCCAATATCAAAAGATGTCCGATTAACAACTAACTGGGTCATAGTCAGAAGTGGAGTCACAAGACCCAACTTTATATGTGGCTAAACAAACAACATTTATGTGAACTTTCCACCCGACATCTGTATACATAACAGACAAATAAATACTTTACAACTTTGAAGGACCAGTACACTTTCCCATGATCCACATATGCCATTTTTATATAATGTAAGCAAATTTAAAGGGACTTGGTAACATTGTTCAGATGAGAGAAAGTGGTGCTAAAGCTGTGACTTCAATGCTAGATGTGATAATCTGAAAGTTTGAGTGAAAACGGACCATTATTAATGATGTAAATTGGGAAAACTGATCTGATCGATTCCTTTATTCTCCCAACTATATTATTTCAATTCAATTACATTTTAGGTGAATATAAATCGTCACAAAGCAATGAGTCTGCTCTATATATCATTCCAGACATTAAGCGATGAAAGATTTTTAAAAGCCTGTCTTATATCTTTTTTTCCTGGAAAAATGGTTGGGAAAATCCAAAGTTGGTTGGGAGAATTCACGGTTAATCCCTGTTAGAGGGTGTTGCACAGTGACACCTTCAAGAAAACCAAAGATATCTTTGTGTTTTGAGAATTTTTTCGGGATTGTTTGCATGTTAGAGGGTTAGTACAGTAAAAGGAATATAATACGTAACATTTCATTAAAAAATTGGACTAGTTATTCGAAAGAATGGTTTGAAAAATCTTGCACCGATGACTGGAAGAATAGAGGGGAGGAGGAGTAGGGGTAGAAGCGGGATTCTATTTTAGACCAGACCTTCACTACGCCACAACCCTCCCCTTTTCGCGTGACTATTCTCTATGTATATATACGTACTACTTTTTTGCTGTTATTTCGTTTTCTGCTTAATAAGGATACTACTACTAATAATAATGGTGATAATAATAATGATAATGCATTGTTTTCCAGGGTATCCTTATTAGTTATACTATACTCCCCGAGGACCCTGCAATCATATCATTACCCAGGCTTTATTGAAACTAGCAATCATATCGCCTAGAAAATTAAGGAATTTTTTCGAAACCCAATACCAATCATTATAGACCGGTTTGATCCATTGCACACGAGGCGTAATTTTGATTTCGTTATTTCCTGCGCTAACCGTGCCCCTTAAAGACGCATAGCAGTGGGCTCACATGGGGAATTCGACACCATTCGGGTGTCTATCCATTAACAGGTGTTTTTAATCACCAGTATTGCTAGCCTTCACTTTATGAACAATAGGCTTTATGTAATGCTCTGCATTTTTCACCCACCATATGGAAAAGTCATTATCTTACATTTCCCTCACCAGAAGACTCTCCGAGAGAGTCGATGGGACCACTCGTGTCCTATGTGCGAGACTTGTACACCCATTCATGGTTTTTCTACCAAGTCTGGTGTCAGAAAATGATGTCCTACTGCACATGGAAACTGACTACCATCTCCCTGTAAGCCAGTTGGCCTCCTTTATAGAGTTATTCAATGCAGTGTTTGTAGCCTTTTTCCCCACTTTTTTGAACGATGTTACTCTTATCGTGTCATGTCGCGTCAAAGACCACGCCATTTGCTGACGGAGCGATACGTCATCAAAATGACGTCACGTGTGCAACGGGCATCGGGTTTAAAAATGTTCACTGCCTCCAAGGATGGTGTGTCACAACCATAGATCACAACACACCGTCATACAGAACGCCACATATAATTAATAAAGTTTTAACAAAAATCAACAACAACAAAACGGCAATGAAAAGTCCACGGTGGTTGAGACTCTCACACAAAAATCACAAATCAGAACTGTAAAATCAAAACTGTAAAATTTCAGTGTCGTTTATTTCAATCAGACTACAGGGAAAAAGTATTGCATACCACATTACATAACACAAACGTTTTAATCTTTTTTTCCCCATGCATATTCGCACTGATATCAATGAATACTAGGAAAAAAAACTTCATAAAGTTCACTAGTTACACTTCCACAGATCATACATAAAGACTACAGCTATTAAAAATTGCTGCAAAACACTACGATTTGCCTGTAAAACAGATTTGCTTTGTCATTTTTGTCAGTTTGTTGCTATATTTGCTTAGATTCAATTCAATAAAGATGATTTCATTGAAGGAAAATAGTAATTCTACTTGCATATAGTGAAAGCACCAATACAAAAATTTCCTTTTCAGTGTTCACAATAGAAAAAACGTAAACATGCCATTGTCACTGTGCATTCACAGATCAGTACAAAGACATCCCATACTACACCATATTAATGGCAGACCCATCAAAGGCAGACCCATCAAAAGCATTTAAAAGTTGAGTAAATAAAATTTAGGGAACTGTCTTGTTCATGATCAAATAAGTAATACTTGAAGTAGGCTTTGTGTAATTTAAATGGGTTTTTTCTAATAACTTTAAAAAGTCTTTTAAAGTCTATCACTTGTAGAAGTAAATAATATCGTTAGCCTCAAACGTAAAATATTTATTTTGCTGTACATAATTATGATCGAATTGTTTGTGTACGTTTTTCATAAAGACCCTTTTTTATTTATGATAATCTTTGAAGCTAGACTTAGTCTACAGGACTATGCTTTACATTTTGAAGATTTCCTTTCTCTTTTATCTCATTTCTGTTCTATTTCTTCTTCTCCTTCTTCTTTTTATTCTTCTTCTTCTACTCCTTCTGCTCTTCCTCTTTCCCTTCTTTTTTTTCTTCGTCTTTCTCTTCCTCCTCGAGACGTTCGCCTTGTTTTCTATTCTTTTGCGGTCATAGCCTTAGTTGCTGGCAGGTCTTGGGTCATCTTGGTGTAGTAAGTGTTGACCTTGCCAGCATTCGTGCCGTAGAATCCGTGTAGAGACATGTCTGGTGAATACTTGGACGCCTCGGTGACCCTCCCCAGAGTTTCGGCCAGGGTCCTGGTGTAGTGAGGCGAATTTCCGCAGCAGAGTCCCACGTACGGTATTTTGAGTTGGGCACAACGCTCAGCGAACTTGACGATGTCAGTGCGAGAACAGAGAAGGCAGTCGAGATCGGTATAAAATGCTCGTTGTCCTGTAAAGAAAAGGCATAATAAAATGAAGAAAGAAAGGATTAAGAAAGAAAAGGGAAACAAATATGATATCGGGTGGTGATTTCAGTTCTTGTCAGCTAGTAAGAAAGTCACCCGGACGTTCCCTGACATTCCCGTTCAATGCCCGTTCCCTCAAATTAAATGCTCACGGTTGACCACGAGGCGTCATTAGGGACTTTTAGATTCGCACGAAGACAATAGGTCTATGCTACGATCGACGTCCTTTTAAAGCACTGCCGTGAATGGATGCACCACGTATCAGTCCACGCAAATCTAAAAGTCCCTATTTCCCGACGAATGAACTTGCCAGCTAGCAACCGACGTGGATGGGTATTCAATGACGCTGTCACATGGAGGATATGACGCACTGTGACGTCAGCAAATGCATCTTGTACATTGGGTATAGAGTACCGAAGGGTGACACCATAGGCCTATACTGGCCAAGTTGTCAAGATTGCCGGTTCCTAACAACTTCGGGCTTAACAATGATATGTTGTGCATGGTGATATGCACACCAGCCCCATAATAAACACAATAAATTTGCCCTGCTCCATCTCTAATTTGCTTATGCGCAGGCTCTGTGTTTAGAACCAGTAACATGGATAACGAGTGAATAAGACGTTAGCACTTCAGTAATCTATTAGCCAAGTTTAATAATGACATTCGCCCTTTACCTGGTTTGAAAACAACCGTCAAAGCGGTATAAATTAGGATCGCGTTTTTGCGCGCCTGTAAAACAGTGTCTAGTTCGAATGCTACAAAGAAGAGGGGAAATTGACCAAATAATTCATTTAATATCCCCCTTTGAGAATCAGTGAATCAGAATCGTAAATTACCGCATCGTAAAAATATATATGATATTTACATTTCTATTAAGTATTGAAGATTCATACCTGATACGGGATCTTTGATGGTCGTGAAGTTTGGTTCCTCCATAGTAGTTCTGTATGGCACTGGCAGGGCAGCTATAGGAACCTACGCACGAAAAAAAAAAAAAAAAAAAAAAAAAAGTGTATATATTGGCGTCAGATCATTTTCCCCGCGTGTTATAAAACTTCAGACTGTACTTCGGCCTAAAAACAAATATATTTACGGGGGTGTAGCATGGGAAATACTGGTTAACGCCATCTACGACTTGTTTTGGACAACTGCGTTCGCGAAACAGACTGAAGTTCTCCTCACGCTTCGGTTTCACGTATGTACGTTTGCACGCAAGTGAATACTGCGGTCGCGTCGTCCGTAGTCATACCCAATTGGCCCCGAGTCAGGCTACGGAAAAAACACTTAGTCTCGTCATGCTACAACCCCTTTAAGGAATACCGCAGCAAATACCGAGGCCAGGCTTCAATATAATCGTAACCAGAACATTTAGCAGTACACTGCACATAGTTGTATTAGATACCGCATTCTGCATGCGACTCCTTATTAGAGAAATTTTGTTCAAAAAAATATCCATCAAATGTATTTATTTGTAGGTATACGAAATGCAACTCGTAGGCCCGAATTCACAAAGGAGGTTTGTCGACAAACCTAGGTTTATGTGCGTCATTTGACGCGTCGAAACAAAAAGGGGTTTGTCGACAAACCTCCTTTTTTAATTCAGGCCAAAGTGTTTGCGTAGTGCACATGTCTTTTTGTGTTCAAATGTTCAATGCGTGTGAATTTGATGTGCTAATGTGTTGTATACAGAAAACGCAATTTCCAAGACAAAACTTAACTGTTATGACCCAGTTAGCAGTGTAGCGGTCAAAAGCAAAAGCTATGCTCACTTTTGACCAATCAGGGGCCTAGATTCCCGAGGTTCATTACAATATCACTTTTTCAACTTCAAAAATCATTTTTTCTTTTGTGTTAAAGACAAGGATTCCTTAATTACCCCGATATCTGCCTTTGATGCGCTCTCAAGTAGAGGCAGCATGGACGTAGGTCCAGACATGCAGTTGAAGCCGACGACGTCGGCGCCTGCAGCTACGAGACGTCGAAGAGCGTCGTTGAACTCGACGTCGTCGGCAGTCAAGACCTTGCCATCTTTGGAGTACTTGCTGAAGTGCGTTCCGAAGGTGATGACTGCCGGTACACCTGGGGGATGAGCAATTAATGAGATGGTTGGGTTCTGAAATGATTTGTTAAAATTATTTGTGAGTTTTCTAGCCCCCCCCCCCCAAGGGGTAGCATATCATAGTAGCTATATAATTGCTTTTCATATGAAAAAGATTGTGCTTGAAGTGCTCTCTTAAAATCAAGTGAAATAGGTTTAAAATAAAACTGGATCGAATGCCTCTAACCCTCCATTTAAAAATTGATAAACATATATGTCTCTTTGTATAAGCGATGGGATACATTTAAGTTATAAGATACATTTAAAAGGTTTTATTTTCATAGTACGTTACACCCAACTTCAATGTATGTTCTTTAACAAAAAGCAGAATACAGCAACATTTTCATAGAGCAACGAAAAGAGAACCTGTCCGATACAAAGTAACGTCATCAGATGTTGAGAGCCAGGAGGAATTGAACTGAAAGTAAAAGTATCAGATAATGTCCTTATGACACTGATCAGCAGGCACGTAGCCACGGAGGGGGGGGGGGGCACGTGCCCCCAACAATTTCCAGGATCGGTTGAACTTTTTTAGACCCCCTTTTTGTTTTACCTCGATCGATTACATGTTTGTGCCCCCCCCCCCCCTCCCCCCCCCCCCCCCCCCCCCCAACATCAAACTCTGGCTACGTGCCTGCTGATCAGAGGATCAGAGAATATACTGAATATTCAATGCTTACCTTTTCCGTATTCTTTGATGGCCTGGGTTGCAAGCATAGCCTCTCCCAAGTGACCAAACGTCTCGCCCACGATGAAATCAGCCCCCTCGTCCACGGCCCACTCGACTTGTTCCTATTTTATCAAGATAAATAAAGAACCATAAAAGACACGAGATACCTTCTGACTGCCAACTGAAATCATCTTCTGATCTTATACTTCCGAAGCCTACAGGGTAGAAGTGATGCTGAATTTTTTCCAAAGTCCAAATTTAATAATAAACAAATTCAAGCGGGACCCATGTAGAAAATGAATGCCAGAATTTCAACCTCCCCCCCCCCCCCGCCCCCATTGAAAATTATTATTTTCGAATCGCACCTGAATAGTTAAATGAACGACGATTTGCTGATAGTGGGATTATCGTTTTGTATTTGAGCTGATGCTACGAATAACTTCTACCAACAGTCCTACTGCAGCCAAATATGCAGCCTTTATGCAGTGCAGTCAGTGACGGTTCTAGAATGGGCTTGAGGCTCAAGGCCCCAACCCCCCCCCCCCCCAAAAAAAAACCCCTCTTGATTTTGAATTAATTTAAGAGAGGCCCATGTATGAATGCAAGAATCCCTAGCCCACCAAAGGCCCCCACGGTGATTCTTCTAGAGAACCGTACCTATACATTGTACTAGGTAAACATTTGATATTTTTAACGACATGTCTATTTACCTTGAACATCGCTTTTGTCGTAGCAATCGCCTCCTCGTTACCAGGTTGGTACACAAACGTGTTGCTGAGGTCACCGCACATCAGGGTTCCCGTCTCATCGGCCACTTCTCTCGCCAGCTTGAGTGCTAGACGATTCTGCTTCTCGAGCTCATCCTCCCGTCCGACCAGCTTGAACTTGTTACGATGACCATAATACTGTTTTGAACGAGAAGGGGAAGTTCCTATGGTCAAATATAATAGAGATAAGAACTTTATTTGATTATAAAATAAGTGAGGAGAGTGGATCAATTTTCATGATTAAAAGAAAGAAGTGTATAAACGAAACTTGAAATAACTGAATACAAACGAGCTTTTCATTGAGTCAATCCAAGATTACTATTTTCATCAATTTGTTATAAGGTTTACATATTGGATATCATATGGTAATATTTTATGGGTCTTTTCCAGAAGCGGATCCGGGAATATTGGGCAGCAGGGGGTGAGGGGGGGGGGGGGCGCAAATCAAAAAAAAAATCTCTGACATGAAAAAAAGAAAAAAGAAAAGAAGAATCAACAAGAAACAAAATAGAGCAAAAGGCTTTAGGGTATAAATTTGTCGCCGAGGGCCCAAATGGAGAGACAATTCCATGTTATGCTTGATGTGATCAAACAACATAATCGGAGGGCCAAAGTCAGACAAGAGGGGTTTGCCTGCCACTTCCACGGAATACTATTTTTCGTCAAAAGGGCCTCTTTTTGGACGCCCCCTCCAAATAAGGGGTGTTCGCTACTGACAATCTGACATACTGTGTATCATGATAAAATGTTTAGAATGAACAAGGTGTGCTTAGTTTGTGTGGTAGTGGCAGGCAAACCCCTCTTTTCTGACTTTGGCCCTCCGCTTAACATGCCAATTATAAAAATTTAAAGGGGCCCGTGCCCCATGCACCCTCCCCCCCCCCCCCCCCAGATCCGCCGTCGCATAAAGCTTACCGTAAACGCCTGTACTACGTCACTTCCAGCGCGTACAAAGTCCTTGTACATCTGACGTACCAGCTCGGGATGATCCACTACAACTTCAGGGGTGAACGGCCCTGCTTTCAGGTATCCCAGATGCTCAAAAGCAAAAATATACCCCTCTGCAACAATGACGGTTTCCCCATCCTTGATCCTTTCCATAAGACCTGTGGAAAGATAACGAAATGACAACACTGCATCATAAGAGATAAACTTACAATGTTTATCTATTGTAATGCGAAGTTTGAAGTTCAAGTATCAACTATCAAGTATCAAGTTTATTTGTCTTCCAGTAGTCACATGTAACAAAATATAATAGAGCATAATCATAACAGTAATACAATGTAGAATAAAGAAAGACGAGGAGATTTTGGTTGAAGCACAACTTGTTAAGTTAAGTTAAACAACTACTCAACGATGCATCGGCCACAGCATGGACCTCCATGACCACAACAAGTATATATAATCGTATCCGGACACCTACCCCCTGGACATCCACCCCCGGATAACCACCCCAGTCAACTACCCCCTAGGACAATTACCCCCTAGGACAACTACCCCCTAGGGCAACCACCCTCTAGGACGACTACCCCCGGGACAACTGCCCCCCAGTAAAATACCCCCTAGGATAGTTGTCCGGGGGTAGTTGTCCTAGAGGATGGTTGTCGTAGGGGGTAGTTGTCCGGCTGGTAGTTGTACTAGGGGGTAATCGTCCTAGGGGGTAGTTTACTGGGAGGTAGTTGTACCAGGGGGTAGTCGTCCCAGAGGGTGGTTGCCCTAGGGGTAGTTGTCCTAGGGGGTATCATTGTATACGGGATAAACGGGGTTTTTCAATGATACCAACTTCAAGTATGATAATATAGTAACAAGAGAGATGCCAACGTTAAAACTTGAACTACAAAACTGTTTTTTGTATAGGAGTTTAGTATACTATTATTATTTTGTTTTAAAATAAGGCTTGAAAATTTCGCAGAGACGCAAAAAAATTATTTATGAAATAGGAGGGGGTTATAATTATGTCCGGCCGGATAACACTGTTTCCCTTTCGGAATATATTCAATACAAGTATTACTTACTTATCAAGTTAAAAATAACAGCTTCCTTGAATATGGACTAAAAAAAAAGAAAAAATCATTTGTAATCACAGCCAGCTAAATCTTTTAAAATTACGGACTTTTCATATTGCATGTGTATCCCAGAGATCGTAAATGTATGATTTGTTCAATCACATTATTGTTCTACCCCCTCCGTTTTTACCAGTTTTGCACATAAAGGAAACCTTATACCTTACCCCAACTAATAATAGATTTATTGGATCTTGCCCATTAAAAATTCCACACCAAAGTGTATGAAAAGGATATTCTAAGTATAATTAATGTAAAGATCCTCAGCACGACATGGGCACCGCCGTTTTCTTAAAAATGTGACGTACTATACGAAGTCTTTTATCAAGTGAATGTATTCAAATTCTGTGTGTAGTTAGGAAATATTTCATTCACATCTTTTTACTATAATCATTGTCAGAACGCAAACTCTCTGCGGTGAAGGTATTGCTTAAACGAAATAGATTTCCAATTTGTTAGCATTTTAACATTATTATTAGTTACACAAAATTATTGTTCCCCTGTGATATATTTTTCACCAAATAATTGATTTATCTTCTCAGCTATGATTTTCTCCCATTTAAAGGTAAATGTTTTGTTGTTGAATTAAAGAGTCTTCTAAATTAGAGCTTGGTGCATAATTCTTGTACAAGTTCGCCTGATGAGTCACATTATCAAGAATATGGCTGCGCTCATGCCATGTCAAAAGACATTCCATCATGCCAAGAATGTCTACATCGTTATATCTCTTGTACATTTTCGTAAAGAATATTTATTTCAATAGGCAGGAATAAATCTCATCTTCCAGCCAACCTACACTTATTCTTTGGATTAAGGTTTCCTTTACCTGTTGTTATTTACCTTTAGACTTCGGCATGTTGTTGTGATGTTGTACTATACGGTGATACTCAGCATAAACAGAACTGCAGAATGACGGAGACAAATTTCCCACTCCTGCACATGCATGAACAACTCCAATCGACTTCAGAAAGAACAGATTTTTAGCGACTGAAAACGATGTACCTCTATCCAAGGGTGTCAAAGATCTGTATATGGGCAATTCCACGGTAACGGAATTACATTTCAGAGAAATTTGGGCTCTATTTTGATATACTGTAGACAGGTGGTTAGACCTAGGTGATTATTTATCTTTTTATTCTTTCTGTATAATGCACCTGTTAGCAAATCAAAATTTAAATTTTTTTTTTTCAACATTCGGAACACCCCAGGACCAAAAGAGTGTCGGTAACGGAATTACGGCAGAAAAATCAGGTTATTTTTTACAATAACTTTGAAAAGATTTCGTCTGAAATCTGCAGCCAATTGGGGGTGAAGTAATGCTAATAAAGGGAGCTTATATTGTTGACTGTCCCATGGCAAGATTTGTTTGGGTGAAGTTGTCATGGTTTATCTGTGCTGGATGGTTTTATGAAAGAAGGTAGCGGTAACGGAATTACATAAATGGTAACGGAATTACGTCTTCTGAAATAAGCTTGAAAAAAAGTGATTTTGTAAACGTTATGTAGGCTTAAATTGTTGTTTAATTGTTTCAGGGGTTGCAATGATTGATTTTAACCACAAAGCAATTCATATGTGTACTCAATTTCTAAAAACTTTTGGGAAACGCGTCTTATATATTGTTAAATGGCAAGTAAATATGATATTTCTGAGAAAATATTGGTGTGTAGTGGTTAAATTTATGTCAATATGTGTTATCATATATACTAGTTTACAACTAATTTTAATTTGGTTTAGTTTGCAAGTAGGAACATCACACAAAGTATGACAAACTACATGTATTATTGCCCATTTGCCGGTAACGGAATTACACTATACATATCACTTTTGTGACCATACATGACAAACTGGTTGTGAAGTCGCCAAGGCCAATTTATAGAAACAGGTCAATAAACTCCACAGTATTCAATAGGAAACAATTAGGATATTCAATTGTTTTATTGACTATTGTGAGGGCTTATTAACCAAGCAAATACCACTTGCAATACATTATTTCAAAGCTTATTTTATGCAGGTTTGATCAAAATCGATTGAAAATTGCAACATTACAACCTGTACGTCGTGGATGGTTACATTTAAGCATTCAAACAATTTTAAAACACTTAAGTGCTACTAATAACACTGCCTACACCCAACACAGGGATCTTTGTGTTAATTAAAAACAAAACACATGAATATTTATTTATAATGATTTCAGTCCATAAAACCAACCACCAAAATCTAAACTAATTATACAAAGAGAGCTTAATATAGCTCTCATTTTGTCAACATCGTTTCAATAATATTTCACACCAGAATTTGTAAATCATTCCCCTATCTCATATTTCTGTCGAGCCAGTTTTTCAACCTGCTGAGCCAATTTTGCGACATTAACGTAGGGCCTTAGAGGGAGCACTGGTTATCATTCTTTTAAAATTAATTACAAACCTTGTCAGATACTTCCATATTACAATTTCAATCCACAAAAGCTAGCACCCCATTCAAAACTAATTAATTAAGATAATATCATCAACAGAGTTGCAATAAAATGTCAAACCTTGTAAATCATTACGCCAATTCACTAAATTGTTATCATTCTTTAATAGTTGGTTATCATTCTTTTAAAATTAATTACACACTTCATCAGTGTTCTTGAATTTGTTACAACATGTAACAAACTTGAACATTGTCATCATTCTTCATTCCAAACAGTTATATTTTCTCTGAGCGCTAGCGATCTAGTAAAAGGCGCCCTGCCACCCCCCTCCCCTTCTCATATGTATAATACGTAGAGTATGGAAATTTACCGTCTGCACGAGGGCTAGTCTGCTATGGTCGTAGCCATCTAACTTCTAATAAAATACATGTTTTTTGATAGATTAGACCTTCCCCTTCAACTTCAACCTTGTCGTTTTTTAATGTATTTTCTCTGAGCGCTAGCGAACCTGTACAGTAAGTTACACTGACACCTTCCCTCAGTCCCATATTTTTTACATGTTACGAGTCGGCAAAGTGACCGTCTGCAAGAAGACTAGTCCGGAACCTGCCAAAGCCTTCTTACTTTTTATTAAATATTTTTTCGCTAGATTAGACCTTGCTTTTTCAACCTCCACCTACATGAAGTCATCGGCAAAGGTATTTTCTCTGTGTGCTAGCGAACTGATTCAAAGTCACCCCCCCCCCCCCCTCCAATGGCCCCATCCATATAACGAAAGTGTCCATCTGCAAGAAGACTAGTCCGCTATGGTCTTAGCCATCTAACTTTTAATGAATTATCCTTTTTTTTGGTGGTAATTTACATGTAGACCTTGCTTTCCAACCTCCACCTAGCCGTTTTTTAAGGGTGTTTTCGTGGGGTATTTTCTTTGAGTGAGCAGACATCGTCGAAGTCACCCTGCCCCCCCCCCCCCCTTCCCTTTAATAGTCCCATATGTATAATACCTAGAGTATGGAAATTCACAGTCTGCAAGAGGGCTAGTCCGCTATGGTCTTAGCTATCTAACTTCTAATGATTTTGTTTTGATTTTTTCAATAGATTAGATGAGATCAGTGAAGAATAAAAATCAGAAAAGGCACTGTTTAAAATCGCCATAGGTGAAATAATATGAAGTATTTCCATGCTTAAATTAAATCAAAAGGTTTCATAAGAGAGGTTGGTACAATTTTAATTGCAAGTTCAGAGTGAAAGAAAAAAAAAACACATCTAAAATTCCCAGCCTAGTTTGTAGTCTTTATGCAAATTTGAAAAAAGTTTTTAAAAACATTCATTGAATTTATCAAAGCCAGATCCTTAGTCTTTAGTTAGACAATTAATATAATAAGCCAATACTTCAAAAAAAAGGGGGCAAAATCCATTAAAAATGTTGTAACACAGCATACAGGTCCATCTGTTGAAAAACATACCACTCATTACTAATGCTGCTGCCCTTTGTAATTGTGTTACCAATGTAATTCCGTTACCATGTAATTCCGTTACCAGTGTTTTAATAGGAAAATAATTAGATAACTCTGAAATTGATGTTTAGGGCTGTTGGTATGTTGATAAAGGAAGAGAATTTGCGACTACAAAGAAAAAAGTAAGAAATAACTTTGTGAGTAAAACTTCTTTCAAATTTTGGTAACGGAATTACGCCATTTTAAGGGTAAAATTGAAATATCTCTCATACAAAAACTTTTTTCATTTGTTGAAAATAATTTGCAAAACTTGATTCCTATTTGTGATTTTGTTCAATTAGGAATAAATATAGAGGAATAAGTTTTAAACACATTGCTCCATTTAATTTTAAGAAATTAAATCATGATCATGTAATTGAGGCCCCCAAAATAGCCCCAACTTCAAATAAATTTTTTAGAAAAACCGTAACAGATATTTCAAAACAGTTTTCAGTTCCGTCACAAGTGATTTCTTGTCCACATGAAAAATGTTAAATTATTGAAGTTGGATCAAATTAAGAATTTGGTGATTTTCCTCTTTCCCATACGGAATTGCCCATATACTCAAGTTTGTGGGAATGACACTATACTGCGTTCAAAAAGACAATAATAGACTTAGATGTTTATAGACTGACATCGCACGCCCCGCCTCCTTCGTATGATAATAGTATAGTAGTAGAGTGTCAAGTGGCGGATCCTGGGGTGGTGTTTAGAGGGGGGCACATAGACTCCCCGCCCCTCAGCCAACCCTGTTCCCTCCCTCCCTCCCTCTCTCTCTCTCCCTCTCTCTCCCTCTCTCCCCCCCCCCCCCCCCCCTCTCTCTCTCTCTCTCATACTCTCTTTCTTCCTTCCTTTCTTTCTTTCTTGTTTCTTGTTGCTTGTTATACAATTGTTTTAGTTAAAGACAAAAGGATGCATCTCCTGTCAGAGAATCCTACCGGAATTCGCCTCTGGTGTCCCATGATACAAAATTCCCTAAAACCTTGTTTGACTTAAAAAAAAAAAAAAAAATCGTTGGGGCCAGTCAAATTTAAGATAACCCTGAGATCGCTATCAGACACCTTGTACCTGGTGATATCAAATATTTACTTCAAGTGAGAATGATTAGAACAATCGATGAGTCAGCAATTTGTTTTATTCGGATCACACGAATCTGCTGAGTAAGCTGATTTGGAATACGGGCCGGAAATTACACACCTATATCAGACATGATTATATTTACTACGGTGAAGATATGAATTTGGTGTAACAAGACAAAAATAATCATTTCGATCCGCTGATATGTATTGGTACATATTGGTTTAGTGTGTATTTGCCGATAAAGAAACGATAAATGTCTTGGATATTAAGGTCGAATGATGTCAATACAATAGCATGTGATTATTTACAAAGTACTGATCATCAGGGAAACGAATAATATAAAATTTCATAATTATATTAACTATTGCGAACGACCCAACGTCGTCCGTAGGCTGTGTGGAACATAAGTTGACGAGGAAAGGGGAGGGGGCAGGGGCGAACAGGGATTGATTTTTGGTTGGGGAAATTTAGATGCGACCATGCATATTCCCAAATTTCCCAATATCTTCTTCATAATAGTAACACCGTATCGTGAGACAGACATTCCTCTATACCAGACATACGCACGCAATTTCGCCAGGGGAAGCTCCCCCCAAAAAATCAACTTTTCATTTTTGTATAAATAATAATTATCATATTTACGAGCGAGAGAAGCGAGATAGGAAAATATTGCACTTCTATCAAAAGACAATGCACAAACGATTTCAACATCAAAATAGAGTAGAAAGTTAAAACCACTTCGCTGTCCAAATATTGGTAATTTCAAAATTATCGGGGTATCTTGCCGGAGGGCACAAGTCATGACCCCCCCCCCCCCCCCTTGCCCCTCATCCGCCACCGAGTTTCGTATAAGGACAGTGTCTGTCATTACAAGGGACTGGCTCCTATAATCTCTTGATTGTTATGGCTAGGAGAATGAAAGTTCATTGTTGATCTGATAACGACAATGGTGTATTTAAAGTAGGGGGCAAGGGGGCAAATTGCTCCTCAAGGCAAAAAAAAGGGGGGGACACAAAAATAAAATGCAACCATTGTCTT